AGATGTGGTAACCTATCTCCATAATCCCAGCATTTGAAGACTAAGGTTCGAAGGATTGCTAGTAATATACATAACATGTTTGAAGCCAGCCGAGCCATTACATAACAAGACCACATGAGAAAACACACGCACACACCGCACGCAGGCATGCACGCGCGCACGCACACACACACACACACACACACACACACACACACACACACACGAACATGCATGTACATGCATATACGTATGTGGTTTTGCTGGTCTGGAACTCACGTCAACTAAGCTAGCCTTTAGCTTGTGCAATCCTCCGGGATCTGGCTCTCCTACTTCCATGCTTCCTTCCAGTGCTGTAATTACAGATGTGCGCCACTATGCCCAGCTCCTATTTTTAAGTACACATATAGTAATGACTGGAATAAATGATAACAATGGGGATTTTGTTTTGTTTTTTGAGATCTGAGGTCTGATCATGTATTTGTTACTCTTACAGGCTCATTTTTGACTGGACTCAGACTTCGAAGTAGCTGTCAGTGAAGACAGCCTATGCTCTAAACAACCTGTTCCTGGAGCTTTTCTTTGGCTTCCCTCATTCTCTTAGCTAAAAGTTTAGCATACTCTGCAGCCTCCTCATTTTTCTTGGTGTATTGTTTCATCAGAGTAATATGCCTGCATGTGTGTTACAGGACACGTAAGTTACAAACCTTGGGTGCTTTGGTCCTGGGCTTCTAACCTTTGTTTAGGGGTTTTCTGACAACATATTTGGTGGACAGCATTATCTTTTGAGAGACTAAAACACTTTCTGATTATGCTTTGGACCCCAACTGCCAAAGCACAAATCCAAGAATATCCTTTTCAACAATAACCAAGTTGAGAACACTCAGGTTGACATCCACAGTGCCAGGCACTGTGCCTGTCTCGAAAAGCCAAAAGAGAGAGAGAGAGAGAGGTTCATAATCTAACACAGGTAAGCCTTGAAAACAGCTAAACGAAAGAAGTAACACACAAAAATTCCATACAATTCCATTTATATGAAATGTTCAGTATATGTTAACTTATAGGACAGAAAGTAGACCAGTATGACCTACAGCTGGAGGAAGACGGAAGGTTTAGGGGGATAATGGCTATCGAGTACAATATATCAAAGTAATGAAAATGCTATAAAAGTGATTGCTGTGGTACAATCGTGAACACTCTAAATACTACTGAACTAAACAATTTATATGAATGATTATAGTAATGGTTTATACATTATTACAAAAATAGTTAAAGTAACTATAAAACTTTTATAAGATAGCAAAATAATGAAGCCAACTGTGGTGGTACATAGCTATAACCTCAGCTCTCAGAAGACTAAGGCAGGAGGATCATGAGTTCAAGGCCAGACTAAACTCTATGGTAAGACCCTGCTGAAGAGAGCTGGGGGGGGGGGTGCCGCATTCTGGAGTTAAGAAGCTTTACTAAAACATGAAATACATTACCAATAATTAAAATTTGACAAAGTGGACTTCATCAAAATTCTAATGTTTTTTCTTTAAAACACTTTAAAGAATAAAAGGGCAAGCCACAGACCAGGAGAAATACTTGCAAAACATCTAAGAGAGAATTTACATCCAGGACATATAATAAATTCTTATTAACACCAATGATAACAGATGAATGACAGTTAATCTTAAGGAAATCAATTCATTATCAATGAGTTATTGGCTAAGTGTGAATTAAAACTACAGTAGGATACCACCATACCCACAAGAATGCCCATAGGGGAGGCTGGAGAAATGACTCAATGGTTAAGTGCACTTGCTGCTCTTGCAAAGGATCATACCAGGAAGTTCACGACCTCCTATAATTCCAGCCCAGGGATCTAATACCTTCCTTCACCTCTGCAGGCACTAACAAAGAGTTGGCTCGCATGCATGAGTGTGTGCGCTTGCACACACTCACACACACACACAAATAAAAAATAAAAATAAATCGTAAGAAAATAAAAACCAGAGAAACCCTGTCTCAAAAAACCAGAATGGCCAGTAACAGGGACTGACAAGACCACTCCGAGACCCAAATTTGTTTCTATCTAGAGGCTTGCAACCAGCTCAACACTGGCCTCTGTGGACACCAGCACACAGACACAAAAATACACTCTCTCCTTCCCAGCCCCCATTTCAAAAATAACAAAAATAAATCTTCTAAAACATGAGTAAGAGTAAAAAAGACTAAAGCTCAAGGATGTAATTCAGTCGGAGAAACTATGTGTAGCACACAGAACACCCTGGGTTGAGACCCCAGCATAAATAAAAATGAACAAAGAACACAGTGCCTCACCCCTCTCTCTCTAACTGAAGCACTTGGGAGTCTGAGGTAAAACCACCATAAGTTAAATGCCACCCAAGGATGCATAGAAAGTCCCTACCTGGAAAACAAAAAGTGTTAAAATACCACATATGGAGGTTATAGAAAAACTAGAATTCCCTATTGCAAATGAGAATGAAAAAGGAACACGACAAAGGCACTTTTGAAAAGAAGTTTGTAGGTCTCTTTTCTTTTGAGTTTTTCAAGCAGGGTCTCCTACAGACTGGCCTCAAATTCACTGTGCAGCTGAGAATGACCTTGAACTGCTGACCTCCTGCCTCTGGCCCTGGGTGCTGAGATCACAGGCCTATGCTACTGCACCTGGTTTCTGCGGTGCTGGAGACCTCCTCCCACTGAGTCACACCTTCAATCCAAGTCTGCAGGGATCTGTGTATGTGCAGTGAATGCCAGAGTTTGAGTGTGCATTCGGACCTGCATAACGTGGGTGTTCAAACAAGGAGGGCATGCAATGTCCTCCTCCATCAGTTTCTGTCTTGTTAGTTGTAAGCAAGGGCTCTCATTTCTCAGGCAGTCTGACAGTCAACAAGTTCTAGTAATAGTCCTGTCTCTACCTTCTACAGTGCTAGAGATACAGGTGAGCAAGAAACCACAGGTAGCTTGCTCCAGAGATGTTGGGATCGAAATTCAGGTGTTCATGGTTGTGCAGCAAGCACTCTTAACCACTGAGCTATCTTGTCAGCTCTGTCAGTTTCTTATAAGGTCAGTGAGATGGCTCAGCTGGTAAGGATGCTTGCCACAACGCCTGATAACTTCAGTTCAATCCCTGGAACCCACATGGTGGAAAGAGAGAACCAATTCCCACAAGTTGTTCTCTGACCTCCACACACCCATGTACGCGCGCGCGCGCATGCACGCACGCACACACACACACACACACACACAATATTGTAGTAACTAATCTTTATTGTTAACCTGACTGGATACAGAATCACCTTGGAGATAACGTTCCATTTCCAATGAAGTTTAACTGGAGGGAAGGACTACCCTGAATGTGGGCATGATTTCTAGGCTAAATGAAAAGCAAAAAGAAGAAAGCAAGTTAAGGACCAGCATTCATCTCTTTCTGCTTCCTTGAGTATGGGTGCAATGTGACCAACTGCTTAATGCTTCCAACCACTGCAACTGGGACCATTCCAGTCGCCACGTTAGGGACTCAGAGCCAAAATGAACCTTTCACTCCTCAGCTTGTTTTTTCCAGGTATTTTGTTGCAGCAACAAAGCCAGTAACTAATACAAGTACATATTATGTTTCCATGTGTCTGACATTCAAAAGAGAAAAAGAAAAAAAGATCAAAATATAGAAACAGACAATAGATCTGTGGTTAACAAGGAAAAATAACTACAAACCAGTAGGGAAATTTGGGAAGTGATGAAAACATTCTATCTTTATTGTGGTAGTAGATAAAAGACTATGAGCAGCATAAAACTGGACATCTATCTAGATAAATGGTTAAACATACAGAAATCTGGCTAATAAAGTTGACCTTTTACAAAAGAACAATTAGTAGTTTCATTCCTTGTCTCAAGGCTACAGAAGCTGCCAAAGTCCTAGGTAATTCTCAAAAAGTTCCATAACCAATCAGCTCTCACTTTGTGTATAGGTCTAAGAACACAGAGACCATGCTAATACAAAACCCATGTGCAATTATCCCCAGCTAATTTCCATGTCTCGTTCCCCTCCCCACTGAGAGGAAGAACCCCACAGGCATTTGGTGGCTCGTTCCTATAGAAAGTACAGAGACAATAACTTCAGTCACCAGATCATTCTTTTGTTATAGGGTATTGAACCCAGAACCTCTACCCACTGAGCTATACTACCAGTCCTACAGCTCTAAACACCCGGGGCCTGTTTGCCAATATCTAACAGAACCCACTGCATTTCCACAAAAGGAGGCAAGAATTAATGTTTATTATGTCAACATTTCTCAAACAATCAAAGGCAAATAAAACAATGCAACCAAGAGAAAAATAGTCTGAAGAATCAATAGCAACTATGTTTTAAAGACCAAACAGCATCAAGACATGGGCTGTCACATATCACCTAAAATTCAAGATGAAGTCTACTTATCTACAATAGCTACAAAACAGCAATGTGTAAAACAGCTCATCGAAATTGCCGTGAAAGTGTATTAGGACCGTGGGGGGGGGGGAATTCGAGTTAGTCATGCATAGACATCATCAAGAAATGAAAAGGGACAAGACAAGGAAAGGAATGAGTATAGGGATACACAGGTTTCAAAATGACAAACCTCTGTATTATTCAGATATTTTAGAAGATACTTTTCAAAATTAATCTTGGTCGATAGCTCCAGAGCCAACAGTAAATCAAACTACAATTAGCAAAGACATATGGCAAAAGAAATTTATGTATTTTTACAAAAGACCAGAATACAAACTTGAAACTGTCAGGAAATAAAATGAAATTGCACTTAAGCAAAAATAGGACACTTCATTACTGTAGGTCACCCCTGCAATAAATCAGTGTCAAGATCTTCTCTGAGGGATCCCAACTTCCTGACAGACAAACTGACCTAGGTTGTAGGTTTTTGTTTGTTTGTTAGTTTGTTTTTTTACTGCTTGGAATATATTCATGAGAGTGAGAGAAATAACAGCTAAGTGTTTGAGGATCAAGCTGGGCTGACACTCACCACAAACTTCTCACCATTCTGCTCCACATGTTTGTATGTGGGGACCGATATGGGCACTGCTTGCTTTTCTGTGTAATCATAAAATGACTGTCCCAAGGAGTCGTCACTGGGATCTAGGCTGTCTGCCTCGTGAGGAGGCACAGACAGCACTGTCAAGATCAATTCCTTCTCGCCTGCTCGGATCAGGTCCACCACCTGCTTGTGTGTCGCCCCCTCAACATTCACGCCGTTCCTAGGGGAAAAGGAAAAACAATCCCATAAACCAGAAGGGTCCAAACACTTTGTGACTCCACCCTCCTGACCCCACTCCAGCGTCACAGAATGAACCATAAATCAAAAGTTCATCTGGTTCCAGAAAAGCTGTTCATGCCTTCGCAGAATCTGAAGTGAAAAGCTATTTGAGAGCTTATGGCAGGGAGAGGAAATGCAGACAGGCAAGAGACCCCCTTCCTTTAGTGTGCACACGGCTTGAGTCAGGAAAGCATGTAGGAAGAAGGTGCTGCTGGGAAGAAACAGCTCTTTCAGCTAAACAGTCTACTTTCCTCATTGTAATCAGACATATGAACAATACAATCAAAGTGCCTTCTATTTTTACTGTAGTTTGTTTACCTAACTTCACGGGGATTTCTTTCTTTCTTTCTTTCTTTTTTTTTTTTTTTGCTTTTTTTATTATTTTAATTTTAAATAGCTTGTTTTACATGTCAATCCTCACGGGGATTTCCTAAGGTTTATTTTTGTTATTTTAAGTATGTGTTATGTGTGTGTGTGTACACAGAAGTGCTGGTGCTGTAGAGGCCAGAGGCCTGGTGCAAGAGTTACAGGCAGTTGTGAGCCAGTATTTGTGCTGAGAACCAAACATGGGTCTTCTGCAAGAACAGTGTGCACTCTCAAAGACTGAGTCATATGTCCAACCCCAGGAACTTTCTTTAAAAAAAAACAAAAAACCACAAAACAAAACTTCCCTTAGCCTGGTGATGGTGGCGCACGCCTTTAATCCCAGCACTCAGGAGCAGAAGCAGATGAATCTCTGTGAGTTTGAGGCCAGCCTGGTCTACGTAGTGAGTTCCAGGACAGCCAGGGCTACACAAAGAAAACTTATCCTGAAAAACCAAAACCAAAACAAACAAACAAAAAAACAAAAAACTTCCCTTTATAGAGATTAAAGTGTGTGTGTATCTTCAAGACAGTTCCTTTATATTATATATCCATTTCCCCATATCTTCAAATTAACCTTCCTTTATAGCAACTTATTATCATGATAATTAAGAAGTATTAATCTGCACATAGCCTGGTTTCCTCTCTCTCTTGGCTTTTAAAGGAACAACACTTCTCTAAAAGTCCATTATCTGACCCAATTTCCAATGTTCTTCCAGTCAATCAGATGATCTCTCAAGATTCTATCCACACATTTTCTGCTCCATACAGCTCACTTAATCTGCCCAATTCAAGAAATACACACCTACAGCCATACAGTAAATCAACCTACTCATTTTCCTGCCTGTTTGCTCAGATAGATGCAAGGCTGAAAGCAGGAAAGGTATAAGATATGAAAGAACAGTACTTTTGTCAAGAAAGATGCTGAGTTTCACAAGCACTGAACAACAGTCCCATTGTGCTGACCTAATGAGCCACCTCAGCAAAAACCAATGGGCAGCTGGCCTGGAAGGTCCCTACCATGACTCTCACAGGAGGGACGGGAAAACACACCTGGCCTCTATTCACTCTCTTTTAAAGCCTATCTGCCCTTTAGAGTTGAACTATGTTTTCAGTTCTGTTCCAACCATTGAAAAGAAAGAATGCTAAACTAGGTTTAGTAACAAGCTTTCCATAGTTTTCAGTCATGGCTTGCCTCTGTCAGAGTCTGGTATCTAAAACACCCATGTGTGTAAACAGCAGACAGGAGAGGCCTCAGCTAGCCTCCTCCCTTATTTTCAATTTAACAATCTAGCCAGTACATTCAGCTGTGTATGGCAGGACAGATTGTAGCACTCAGGAGAACCACCACAGTTCTGAGACCAGCATGGGCTATATAACAAGATCCTGTCTCAAAAAAACTTAAAAAAAAAAAAAGAGAGGAAGAAAAAGGGGAAGAAAGAGAGATTTGTGATCCTCAAAACTCTTAAATTTCTCAATCTAAAATTCTAATTATAAGCAAACTCTTAAAAGTAGTAATTTCACCAATACAGTCAGTTCTATACATAAAAATCAAGGGTCCCCTACTGATGGAAACCCCAACTTGCACAATCTGAAGAGAACCAGAGTAGGAAATTCCAGTTTTCCAAATATAACCCCAGCTCTGGAGGCAGAGGTAAGAGTCCCCAGTTCTAGACCAACACAAGCTAAGACATTATTTGAAAAGCCAAACAAAAAGATATGAATAAGAAGAAAAGAAAACTGATCAGCGGTACAGCTCAGCTGCAGTGCCTACTGGGTTCACTGCCTGCTGGCATGAAGACGTTTGAAGTAAAGAAGAAATTGAAACCTAAACTTATGGGTTGGCAAAGGAGCTCATCTAGTTCTTTGGCCTTAGTACTTCTGAGAAAACTAAATTAAAAAGGTTAAAAATTAGCACAGAATTGGCCAGGTGGTGGTGGTGCATGCCTTTAATCCCAGCACTCAGGAGGCAGAGGCAGGTGGATCTCTGTAGCCTGGTCTACAAGAGTGAGTGAGTTCCAGGACAGCCTCCAAAGCCACAGAGAAACCCTGTCTCAAAAAACAAAAAACAAAAAAAAAAAAAAAAAAAAAAAAGACACAGAATTCATCTATCCCTAAGAACTTTGGCTTATTCACAAATGTCCATTTTAATTTTTCAATAAAATAGAAACAAGACATCTCAGGGACTGAACAATATCCTAGATGCTAACAAGATTTTTTGTGAATTTATCCTCAAATCTTACTCTTTTTTTAGTTACCATTTTTTCTTTCCTTTTATTAAATGGCCCTAAAGAGCCCCACTTTTTTTTTAACCTTTAAAAGGTTTTTTTGTTTGTTTTTAGCAGAACAAACAGACCTATTACATAATAAGAGGGCCTCCAGTGAACACATTTCCCCAGGAGGATCTGACAATGCAGTCATACCCTAACTCGAGTTCTGCTGCTGCAGCTCCCCAGTACAGGCATTATAGGCATTGTGTCACCCACTCCGTCTTGGAGCACTTTGTATAGCTAATGACCCTACAAAATTTATGCGCAAAGGTGTATTTGTATCATGTATCTTCTGGGGGAGGGCAGGGGAAGAAGTTCCATAACTTTCATTGGTATCAAAAAGAAATATACAGTCTCCAAAAAGATAAAAAAAACTACTGATTTCAGCCAAGTAGTGGCAGAGGCAGAGGCAGGTAGATCTCTGTGGGTTCAAGGCCAGTCTGGTCTACATAGTGAGTTCCAGGACAACTAGGGATATACAGAGAAACCCTTCCTCGAAAAACCACAAACAAAAAACAAAAACCACCACTCCCCACAAAAACCCAAAACCAAAATGTACTGATTTCGAAACACAACTTTACCAAGTTGTCCTTAAGTCACTCACAAAAATTCTCTCTGAAACTGGTCACAGTAGCACACACTTTTAATTACAGCACTGTGGAAGCAGAGGCAGGCAGACAGATCTCTGTGAGTTCAAGGCTAGCCTGCTCTATATACAGTCAGTTCCAGGCCAGTGAGACTGTCAAAAATAAATAAATCCAGGAAAGACTCAGGAGAAATTTAAGTGAGTGATATAAACAGCAGAGCAGCTTAAATTCCCTATTTTTGTTAACAAGAATGTTTTTCCAACTGGCTAATATCCCAAAAGCTTCATTAAAAAAAATACAGTCAAGGGGTGGGGATGTGGCTCAGTGGTAGAACCCTCGCCCTGCTTGTATGAACCCTAGATTTAACCCCCAGGATCACAAAAAGAAAGAGGTAACAAAAAACAGAAAAGAACTAGTGTTTTGTGTCATATCCTAAATACATTTGCTAATATTTACCTGGCTCATCTACAGAAGAAATGCTATACATGCCTCAACTTAATACAAAGAAAGAAATTCTTTCATTCTCCAGAGAATGAAGTCAGCAAAAAACTCCAGGCCATCTGATCTGAAACAGGGTCCTCCCTCCTTAGGAATTTCAAGGACTTCACAATCATAAAAGTATTAGTCATGGGCTGGAGAGACAGCTCAGCTGTTAAGTGCATGCATATACTGCTCTTGCAGAAGACCAAGTTCAATTCCCAACAGCCATGTCATGTGGCTCACAACCACCTATAACTCTAGCTCGAGACACATAATGACACCTTGGTCTCTGAGAGCACTGGTAATCACATGTAATCACATGCCCATATCTAAATTCATACACACACGGACTCTCTCTCTCTCTCTCTCTCTCTCTCTCTCTCTCTATATATATATATATATATATATATATATATATATATATATTAGTATTAGTCATAAAATGATGGTATGATACACTGTTTTCCACAATACTATTACTAAACCAGATTCAAGTTAAATAAGGCCCCCAAACTTGTACAAATATGAAACATAAATAAATGCAAAGTAGAAAGGGGAAGTTCCAGCAGTGCAGACATTTGGCTCAAAGCATGTGCTCTGGGGAATCAGACATGCTTGGGGTTTGAATACCAATGATGCCGTCTAACAAATAGGACCTAACTTAGTACTAGGTAACTTATCCTGTCTCACTATGCCTCAGTTCCCCAATCCATATAAAAAGCCACCAATAACATTTATGGCTAATGAAGTAGCTATGAGAACTACAGTGAGCTGTAGCTCTAGAACATGGAGCCACTCGATAAAGCTATCAGTACTGATATCCACACCAGCAAATGAGCTGGCAGAACTGAGTTCTCCAAGATGATAAAACCTCTCCCACCAATTCTGCTTGCCTTCTTTCTTTGTAACATAATTTATCAGGAATTCATCTGAAAATAAAGAGAGCCACACAAGTCCCACCAACAACACAAAAGGATCTGAGACTGGATGAGACATACCAGCCTTTGTTTTCCACAAAGAAAGTCAGTATTTGCAATGAACTAGCAAAAATAATACAAACAGTATGTGTTGATTAAACAAATAAAACCGAATGTTAATTTTAGAATAAGGAGGGTACCTACACAGGCTGGAAAGATGGCTCAGCAGTCAAGGGCACTTACTGCTCTTGCAGAGGACCTGAGTTCAGATCCCAGCACCCACATCTAGCAGCAGCTTACAACTAACTGCCTGTAACTCCAGCT